TAAAACCATGGCTGAGAAATACTCGCGACACCTCAATGGAGGGAAACGCTGTTCGATCCGTTGATCGAACAGGGCCAATTCACTCGCGAACCGAATTAAATACGCGATCTCCAGTAACCGGTGTTACTGGGATGAATAAGAGAATTTATCCTCACCTTTCCACGCGATTTCCGGGTCGGGTGGGATCCTCCCATTGTCTTCTCCTTTCTTTTTGGCACTCTCTGGGGAAAACGTCCTGTGGCTCGGGTGTCCAGGCGATAACTGCTAAAAATGGCGGAACTCATGTCTCACCGAGACGTTAGTTCCGGTGGATTAAGCGCGATGGCACTAATGGTCCTGGCGCTCTAATTTCTCCCCATTCAAATTTGAACGGGGGACCTAATTCTGATTAATTTTTCCTAATAACCCTAATTATCGCGGCTAGTCTTTTCCCGGTTGTTTCCCCCGGGGATCCGTGGATATACTAATATGAACTAAACTTAACTAATACGGCAATTCGGGGAGGTGTCGGTCGTAACACCCCCGCCGACCATCCAACACTAACGCGTACACTAAAATTCCTCACGAATCCCTCTTTTTTTTGGGGTGCTGGTTCTCGCAGCCAGACGGTTCATCCCGGGATGATTTTGCAAACGGAATACTCCCCAGAATCTACGTCGGATGATAATTCCATATTATCCCTCTTCGCGACGAGATTGAGAACCGACGCGATGTCCCACCCTAATTTCTAATCCCAGCCCTAAGTTTTCCTTAGTCAATCCCTAACCTCCTGCTGATTCGGCAGGGAATAACCCCTGTAATTTTTCCCCCCATAGATTCCCTTAAAATTGCCTAACCTCCTGCTAATTTCCGGAATTAGCAGGGAAAAATCCCTAATATTCTAAACCGTCCTAACGTAACCTCCGGTCCGTCCGGGACAATCGCGAAACCGTGATTTCATGTCACTGTTTAATTAATTATCCAATTTCCTCCACTGGTGTGGGATTCGCGGGTTGGGTGCGGCTCTCTCTCTCAAAAAAAAAAAAACGGTGTATGTCACATAAGAGACAAAAAAAATATTTGGGTTCACATAGACGATACAGTTATTTCAAAAAGTCGAGGGCCACGAAATGCAAAAGATGTATATATATTATTTTTGGAAAGAAGAAATTGAAGACCTGAAAATATGAGAACAATCTGATCAATTTTTATGACTATGACACCCTCGATAAAAGTGAATGTATATGTCTAAAATCTGTCTAAGGCCCTTGAGTAATTTTGAGGGAAACTAATCTGAGCAGTTATAGGAGCCCTCAAAATGTTGATTATCAAATTCAACCCTTTGAGGGCTATTATCCTTCATTGCACTATAACGTATTCCCATGCAAATTATGAAAAGATGTGAAATTGAGGAAAAAAAATCTATTGATTGATAATTCATAGATAATTCATCTTGTTCGTTATATTACTGTGAAAACAATTGATATGTTTGCAAAAAGAAGCGAAATCCTATGAAAAAATCAAAAAAAAAATTTTGTGAAAACTTTTGCCAAGTGGAGATTTTATTGTATCTGTTCGGTTTTCGACCGAATTCTTTTTCCCACACTCACACTCACCACCGCACATGACCCACTCAGCTGATTGACTCGCTCGCCTCAGATGACCAGTGGCCCCTCACCTCTGACACCTGAGGTGCCACTTGATGGACAGGTGTATTTGGCCATCCCGATGATCGACACCTCCCACCTTGCGGCTTATCACACTCTCTCATTTGCATATCGACCGTGAGAGTGTTTAGGCGCTTTTCTCAGTACTTCTCGTTTGTTAAAATCAATTGATCCGCTCATTTAATTAGTTCTTCTTGGAATTGAGTTAATAGTTCCTTGAATTTTAATATTCTCGCTCAGCTTTTTTTGTGCTAAATACAAGTGTATTGAGTGACTCTTTGATTTATTAAAGTTGACTTTTTGTGACGACGCCACGCGAATGATTATTTGATCCTCTCACGCATCCTCCTGTAATCCGTCTAAAACTTGTCCATCGCCTAAGAATATCCCCAAAATCAGATCCCGTATCGAACATTTTGGTCCTTCGAGCCGGATACGCGGGATATCTTTTAGTTTTAGCATTATTTTTGTAATTTGTTCGGGAGTGAAAAACTCGCGTCATTCGTCGCCAGGACCGTCTCGACGCTCGCTAGTGCCCAGTGCCCAGCTCATCACACCAGGATCACCCCAGCGATGCAGGTGCCCCGCTCACCCATTAGGGACGTGCCAATCGCAACGCGCGGGGAGAATTCAAACTCTCCATATTTGATCATCTCACGCATCCTCCTGTAATCCGACTAAATCTTGTCCATCGCCTCCTGTCTCGGAGGTGATTTCTCCATTTTCTGGCGACGCAGCGATTCCTTGTCGACCTTCGCATCCAGATAAGCCATTTTAATCATTTTCGGTGTTTGCTTATTTGCTATTACATTTGATTTTTTTTTGCTTTGGGCTTTTTCACCACTGCATTAATTGGTTCTGCATGGCTTTCTGGAGTGTTTGTTTTTTGCTCTGACGATGGGACCTGCTCGTAATACCGGAATTTTACGTGACAATCCGAGTATTTTTGACCAGCGGCAATCTCATTCCGGGTATTATTGACCATCGGACTTCCGGATATTACGGGGCAATAACCGATTGCTTTTTATTGGGTTTTACGCTGATTTACAATTACGTTTGAGCTTTTGCTATTTGAAAATGACTTCGCTTGAAGCAGCTATGAACCTTCAGGGGGCTCGCGCGACATTCATAGAGGAGACGCTCTCAAAAATGTCGGGGGAAGACGCGAAACAATTTCGTCTTTCAGCACTGGAGTCGATGCTGGAAATGACCACATCTCATTGGGGGAAATTCGAAACCTCTCATGAAATGCTCATCACGTCCAGCCCTAAAATTGAAAGTCTCTTAGAGACTCATTATTTCTGGTTTTCGATAAGACTGGCGAATTTCTGCTCAGTTAAGCTCCAGCTGACTCAACTGATGGAGGAGAAAGTAGCCTCTAACCTTAATCTGACTAGGCTGGGTTCTCAGTCCAGCGCTAATGCTCCTTCAGTTCCAAAGTTTTTGGGAACTTACACAGATTGGCGTTCTTTCCGGGATTTTTTTTCTTCGCTAGTCAGTAAAAACCCGGACCTGTCCAACGTCGAACGCATGCACTATCTGCGTACAATCCTTTCGGGAGAGCCTTCACATCTCACTTCGAACTTGACCGTCTCAAATGATTCTTTTAAGACTGCTTGGGACTCATCTATTCATTTCTCGGTATGAAAACAAGCGCCTATTAGTCTCTGCTCATCTTGATCAGCTCTTGACTCCTGCACCGACGTCTTCTCATTGCGGAAAGGAGATAAATCGTTTGATGACTACGGTGTCGGAAGCGCTCAGTGCTCTGAAGGCTCTCGGTGAGCCAACTGATAGTTGGGGATCATGTTGGTTCAAACATTTGGAAGGCGTCTCAGTTCTAAGCTTCGTGATTCTTGGGAGAACAAGGTTGGGGCTTCGACTGATTACCCTTATATTGATCAGCTCTTGAAGTTCCTGAGAGGCCGTGCCAGAGCTATGGAGAGCATGGAGGTCAACTCTTAGAACAGCTTCCGTAAGCCCAGCGCTCAGGTTCAGTCACAGCATAATAGATCTGCAAAGGTTAACACAGTGACTAGCTCTCGAACAGCTTACAGCCAGCACCCAACTGCAGCTTAAAGCTCGGCTCAAATACATTCCACTCACTCGACTTCTTGGGCTGACGCTGGCTACCCTTGTTCATACTGTAAGAGGGACGATTACATCGCCTCTAGCAGTGAATTTAAGGATCTCTCGCCCATCGCAAGAAAGGAGGTTGTCGACCATCTCTATCTGTGCTACAACTGTCTGGGGAATCACAGCATCAGAGTTTGTCAGACATTTAGAACGTGTAAGACGTGCCAGGAGAAGCACCACACCACACTCATTCAGAGCACGCCAGCTGCTCCATCACAGCAATGAGGAGTACATTCCCAAAAGGCCATCTCTTGCTCTGCTCATAGCTATTCTCATGGTTCTCGACCTGGAGTCCTACTCGTTACTAGTCTAGCCCTGCTCATCAGCCCTGATCATTGTTCTTCTCAGCGAGTTCGTTTACTTGTGGATCCAGGCTTCGAACTATTGCTCATCTCGGAATCTCTCGTGCGTCAATTGAAGCTGAAGAAGCAGCGTAGCTCAATCCACATTTCTGATGTGGGTGAGTCGTCGTTTGGGACAACGTCCGGTGAAGTTCATCTCACGCTTCAATCGATCTACTCAGCAGAATGCATTGAAGTCACAGCTCATACTCTTGATCATCTCACATCAACTCTACCCACCTTCTCAGCGGAAGATCTCGACTGGAATCATCTCAAGGATCTGAATCTAGCGGATCCAGATTTCCGAGTCCCTGCTCCAATTGATTTGCTCATTGGCGCTGATGTATTTGCTCGAATTATCAAGCCCGGCATAGTTAAACAAGGGACGGATGCTCCAGCTGCTCAGCTGACATCTTTCGGCTGGATTGTGTTGGGCTCAATAGGTCCAGCGCCAGCTCCAACTCGACTTTCTCATCACCTGGCTGTCTCAGAAGTGTCTAATGACCAACTCGAAGACGTTCTCCCTAAATTCTGGATACAGGAGGAAGTCCCTGGAAGGATTGATTAGAACCTCTCAGCAGATGAACTTAGCTGCGAGCAGCATGTTCGTCAAACTCAATCAAGAGATAGCTCAGGTCGTTAAATCGTCCGATTGCCCCTCTCATCTCCAGTTTCGTTGTTAGGAAATTCTTATCGCCCAGCTCTAGCTTATCTCCATCGGATGATCGCTAGAATTTCCAAAGATCAGCGCTTCTTTCAGCTCTACTCTGACTTTCTCAAAGAATATGTCGATCTCGATCACATGAGGTTGGTAGTTCCTTCTCTTGTTAGCTCTTCGTCTTCGGTTCAGGTGGAGACCGCTTGTTGTTCTGACGGGATGACCTTGACACATGAAGCGCAGGCTTCAGGAGGGTTGAGGGTCTCTGAGGAGCTTCGAGTAGGACCATCTGACATTTGCGGGAGTTACTACCTTCCACATCATGGCGTAGTCAGAGAGAGCAGCGAAACATCGAAACTGAGAGTAGTTTTCAATGGATCAGCAAAGACCAGCGCCGGGAAATCGTTCAACGACATTCTCCATACAGGGGCCAAGCTGCAGCGCGACGTTTCTGATGCTCTTCTCTGGACTAGGCAGCACAAGGTCATCTTCATGAAAGACATTACCAAGATGTTCCGTCAGATTAGGGTTCATGAAGATGACTGGCCTCTGCTGCAGATATTATGGAACGACTATAATGGAGGATTCTCAACATTTCAATTGACCACCCTCACGTATGGGACTGGATCAGCTCCGTTTCCCGCAAATCGTGTTCTTCTCCAGCTAGCTGAGGAGGAAGGATACAGATTTCCTTTGGCCGTCGATCCCATCGTGAAAGGAAGATATGTTGATGATATCTGTGGAGGTGCAGATACGCATGTTCAGCTCGTAAGAAAAGCTCAAGAAGTGCGCAATCTCTGTGCTGCCAGAGGGATGCTTTTGGCAAAATGGCACAGCAACAGTTCAGCTCTTCTCAGATGGCTCGATCCTGACAGCACCGCCAATGACCAGCGAATCTACGAGGACTCAGAGACCAGGATGCTGGGGTTATCTTGGCAGCCCAACTCAGATAACTTCGTCTTCTCCACCAAATCATCGCAGAACTTGACCGTGTCCAAGCGGATTATTCTCTCAGAAATTGCTCAGCTCGACGACCCTTTCGGATTTCTCTCTCCTGTAGTCATCAGAGGAAAGATGCTGCTACAGGAAATTTGGATTGAGAAGCTTGGTTGGGATGATGAAGTTTCGCCTCAAATAGCACATCGATGGAATAGCTTTCGTCAGGATCTCATCTCGTTGTCCAACGTATCCACACCCAGATGGATTGCTCCAGACCTCCGTTGTTGAAATACACGGATTCTCAGACGTCTCTTCGCTCGCGATGTCAGCCGTAGTCTTTCTCAAGGTCTTCAATAACAATGAAGAGCCTCGCATCTCATTGGTCTGCTCAAAAAAAAAAGTAGCTCCTCTCAAACGGCTGACAATCCCCAAATTAGAGCTCACAGCTGCTATTCTTCTTACTAAGCTCGTAAAGTACGTCAAGAGACAACTTGATTTCTCAAACGTTCCAACGAACTTGTGGACCGACTCTTCAGTTTCGCTCACATGGATCAGCTCTCACCCTTCCCGATGGAAGGAGTTCGTCAGAAATCGTGTCCAGCTCATTCAAGAATTAACGGATGCTCAGTGGAAGCTCGTTCCTGGCAAGGAGAACCCAGCTGATTGCGCATCTCGTTGATTAACCACAGCTCAACTCGCGTCGCACGAGCTATGGTGGCAGGGTCCATCATGGCTGAAGAAGAGCTCATCTCATTGGCCATCTCTGGAACTCTCTTCAGTGGCATCAGCTGATCTTGAAGAGAAACCTGGTGTAGTGCTCCAAGTAAAAGTCCAGCGCCCAGAGATCTGGGATCTAGTTCATCGCTAATCCTCGCTTAACAAGCTACTCAGAGTTACTGCAATCTGCCAGCGCTTCATTGCTCATCTTAGAAAAACTCCAGGATCTTCGTTAAAGACATCTCTCAACCCTGGTGATATTGAACAAGCTCGTCTCTTCTGGATCGCGGCTAGTCAGTCAGCGCATTTCTCGTCCGAACTGATGACCTTGTCCAGAGGGCAAAAACTCAGACCTTCTCATCCGCTCACTCGATTGACAGCGTATCTTGATCACCAGGGAGTTCTTCGCGTTGGCGGACGTCTTAAGTTTGCTCAGCTCGACAATGATAGCAAACATCAAGCTATCAGTCCGAAGGGGTCTCAGTTTGTACAGCTCATTATTCAGGATGCTCATCTCAGAACTCTTCATGGTGGAACGCAGCTCACGCTTGGTCAGCTCAGACGATCTTACTGGACTGTTGGTGGAAAAGCACCAGTAAAATCATTAATTCTAAAGTGCGTTCCATGCGCAAGACAGCGAGGAGTCAGAGCTCAACAACTCATGGGTCTGCTCCCAGTAGTTCGTCTCACTCCTGGCCCTGCATTTCTCAATACAGGAATTGATTATGACGGTCCAGTATCACTCCGCTCATGGAGAGGACGTGGCCACAAATCTTGTAAAGGATGGCTCGCAATTTTCGTCTGTATGGATACGTCCGCGGTTCATCTCGAAGTGGTTTCAGATTATACATCTGACGACTTCATGGCAGCGTATCGTCGTTTTGTCGCTCAGCGCGGGCTCTGTGGGAATTTGTTCTCACATTGTGGAACAAATTTCCTCGGAGATGGCAAGGAAATAAAAAACCTCTTCTCAATGGCGTCCAAGGAATCGGACCAGCTTGTTCATCTCTTGCTCAACGACGGTACGAAGTGGTCTTTCAGCCCACCAGGTGCTTGTTGCGGACGCCGCAGTCACTACGGTTATGATTTTTCTTTATAAATTGGGAAAACTTGGTGTAACCACAAAAAATGGGGCTTTGGAAAATCCCATACAATAGCCAGGAATCTCGCTACGACCGGCCTAAATGCCGATTATGCGAACTGGCCACAATAAAAGAGACCACCTAGCAGGTATTCAAGTGGCCGTCATTATGACCTGAAAGGCGTTAAGGAGTGACCATCAGGGCGACAACACCTGGAAACCACGAATCATCTAAAATGAAGCCACACAATTGCTGAAAGGCGCAGCTAAGGAGATCCTTTTCACTCCATTGAATTTTGGGGGCCAAAAACTTAAACAATCCTCCAATGGTAACCACATATGGGAGCTGCCCCAAAGAATTGATAATGTCGGCAATTCAGAGACGGACCACCTCAGCCACGGGTTTGCCGATATCCACAAAGAAAAAGGCAGGCCAATTGGAGGTACATCTGCTCCGAGAGCCTCCCCCCATTGGTTACAGGGGGTTGGCCGGAACGATGACGTCACCTGCACCCCGTATCTAACGAAAGTTATGAGATGGCTTCCAGGAATTGGCACAATTCACCAGACGATTTCATGTTGTCCAAACAAGGGGACATCTCCAGCCTCAAATGGTCCACTCCATTTGACACGCGAGGCTTCTAATGAACAATAGATATCCATCGTCAAAGGAGGTGTCGAAGTTATGGGCCATGAACGTCAAAAAGATGCGTAAACATGCCACTTTTGACATTAGAAGAACATTAATTAGAGTGACGCCAATGCGCGCTCGTCGCGTCTTTCTCTCAAAAACTTCTCCCGCACCTGGGGAAATGGGGGGTAGGATCGGGGTGAGGGTACATTGCCCAGAAACATCCCTTTTGAATACATTGTTAATCATAAGAAGATTTCCCCCACCATACCTCAAAAAACGTTGGATGACGAAATCTCAAAATGCCAACGGCTGTAGGGGAATCACGCCCCAACAGTATATAAAGGGCGGTTTTTCGCCAAATAAAGTCAGTCTAAATTAAATCTTCGACTCGTGATCTTCAAGTGGTATCCTGCTCGTCACCCAGTTCAACCTTCCAGGCCCAGTCTTCACGAGAGCAGCTCTTCAGGAGACCACCCTCTGACGTAACCACTGGGGCACAGTCTGAGCGTACAACTCGACTCTTCTCGCAACCCCAGATGGAGTGCGCAGCTTTTAATCACTACCAACGAGTCCAAAGTAATATTTCGACTCTTGGTTATTAACGAGGGGCTCTGCTCATTAATAAAGCTGACCCTTCAAGATCCGTCTGTTGGGAAGCAGCTCTGCAGCATCGTCCATTTTCATCGCTACTACATCGACTGGACAGCTCGATTTTCTTCATTACGTCAGATCGAGGAGTGTTCTTTATGGGAGGCAAGCCAGGCGGTCCCGTTACAAATTCTTGACTTTCTACGAGGGGCCCTGCTCATCAACAAGCTCACCCTTCAAGAGCCGCCTGTTGGGAAGCAGCTCCGCAGCATCGCCCACTCTCTTCTGTATCGAGTAGACAACTCGAGTTTCTACATTGCGTCAGAACGATCGCATTTCTGCAAGCCAGCACCGACCTGGTAAATCACTCAGCATACAACTGAGTTCATCACGAGCGTTCAGCCACGGATATATTATGCAAACCAGCACCGACCTGGTAAATTTGCTCAGCGTACAACTGAGCTCATCCTGAGTGTACAACTCAGGGAAACCTCTCGTCAAGCCAGCACCGACCTGGTGAATTACGTAGCGTACAGCTGAGTCTACCCCGAATGTCCAGTTCCGGGATTTCTCCGCGCCTAGCAACATTAAATAAGCAACACAATAAGCCACATTAAAGGGGGCAACCAAGTTCTGCCTGAGTGAACAACTCAGGCCCACAGACACCCCCAACGCCTCCGGTGTCGTATTATCATCATCACCAACGCCAGAGAAGCGTGTTTGGGCCGCTTTCAACTCCATCAGTGCTAGAGGATCTAGCATACTTTTGGAGTCTCTCCGGAATCCGCTGCGAAGGGGAAACACGAAGAAGCCACCCGTTCACTGTTGCCGATTAATTTCAACAAACGTAAGTCAGAAAACACACCAACAACATTTACACTACTCCCTCCTACACTCTTTTCCTACCTACATCTGGTTTTTATCTTCGACTTTCTTCTATTCTGTATACCAAGTGAAGTGTAATAAATTTAAATTCTATTTTAAGGGACCCTTTAGCGTATCTTTCTCTTTGTGTGCTAATTCCACATATTATAACCATTGTGTACTTCAGTGCTTAGTCCCACGCAATCGGTCCCCACTAAGTGAGATTCATAAGATCCTTTCTCCTCCGGACACTACCTGTCGTGACTAGTTACGGTCAACTCGTCAGAAGGGTTCACCTTTTACCCGATATTTTGACCTGCCTAGTGACCCAGTGTCTGTAACATGCTCCTCATTTTGGAGGAAAGTGGGAAGCGGCAGTTAAGTCGGTTAAGTTCCATCTCAAACGAACAATTGGAGAAGACCTGGTCACTTTCGAGGAACTAAGCACTCTGTTTTCTCAAATCGAAACCGTGCTCAATTCTCGACCACTTGAGCCTCTCTCAGAAGACCCTGATGACATCTCAGCGCTCACTCCAGGACATTTCCTGATTCAACATGCTCTGACAGCTCTGCCTGAACCTTCTCTGGATCAATTGAACATCGCTCGTTTAACTCGTTGGCCGCTTATCCGGCAGAAAGTTCAGAGCGTCTGGAATCGGTGGTCCACTAGCTATCTCCAGCATCTCCAGTCCATATCTAAGTGGCACCACCCATCTCACGACATCAAGATCGGCTCTATAGTCCTTCTCACCGAGGAGAGATTTCCACCAACGAAATGGCCTCTCGCTAGAGTTATCGCTCTCCATCCTGGTAAAGATGGACTCACCAAGGTGGTAGCCATCAACACGTCCAGCTCCACTCTTCAGCGGCCCATCGCTAAGCGCGCCCTGCTACCAATGTCGATCAGCGACTTCTGATCTTCTAGTCCAGCGCAGCTAGATCTTCTCAGAAGCATCATGCTGATTTTCGTTAGTTCACCTCGACGGCTGAGTCCACCACTGCTCTGTTTTTGTCCAGACCTCGATGAGGATTTACGCCCTTCATCTTGCAACCTGGGCTGGATTGGAAGCCAGTCAGTCTAGTTCTGCGGAATTTACGCCTCCAAGGATTCTAACTGTGCTGGGAATTGATCGTCGCTGATGGACTCTAGTGGTGATATTGACCATCGAGTAATTATTGTCCTGGCTCGATTAATCTCTTTTTTGTTCTAGATCAACTCATGAACGTCAGCAGATGCTGACGGCTGGGGAGAATGTTCGGTTTTCTACCGAATTTCCTTACTCTCACACACAAACATACACACACTCTTGACCTACTCAGCTGATTGACTCGCTCGCCTTAGATGACCAGTGGCCTCTCACCTCTGACACCTGAGGCGCCACTTGATGGACAGGTGTATTTGACCATCGCGATGATCGACACCTCCCACCTTGTGGCTTATCACTCTCTCTCATTTGCATATCGACCGTGAGAGTGTTTACGCGCTTTTCTCAGTACTTCTCTTTTGTTAAAATCTATTGATCCGTTCATTTAATTAGTTCTTCTGGGAATTAAGTTAATAGTTCCTTGAATTATAATATTCTCGCTCAGCTCTTTTTGTGATAAATACAAGTGTAGTTAGTGAATCTTTTATTAATTAAAGTTGACTTTTTGTGACGACGCCACGCGAGTGATTATTCGATCCTCTCACGCATCCTCCTGTAATCCGACTAAATCTTGTCTACTGCCTAAAAATATCCCCGAAATCAGATCCCGCATTGAACAGTATCACCATATTTTCCCAAAAAATATTCTTAGTTTTATTCACACAAAATATGTGAAATTCCCGAAAAATAATCTCAGTTTTATTCACAAAAAAATACGTGAAATTCCGAAAAAATATTCTCACATTTATTCACAAAAAAATAAGTGAAATAAAAAAGATGCCAAGCATGACGTTCACAAATCATATTGATTAGAGAGACCTGACAACTCAAGTGACTGAATCCAGTAACGTATATGAACAGAAAGGTCGCCATTGGAGACGCTAAAGAACAACGAGCATTCTTTATTTAACCATCTTGAAAAAACAAGCACCACCAACGGTAACAAGCATCGCCAATTGCCAATTCGATTTTCGGAAAAAAGTCCACTTGGCGCGCCTGCTTTTTTATACCTCAAGAAATATACATATGGGTAATTAAATAGTTCACAGATGGGTGTCAAAATTCATTTCTAGGAAGCAATAACTAAATTTCGCGGAAAATATTGTACAGTCTCTCAAATTAATTCACAGGTTGGTGACATAATCACTTGAAAAATATGCGATTGTAGATTATCCTGATTCAACGGTCAATCGTGAAATCAACTGGAAATTATGTAAATCGTTAATACCATATTCATTTGAAACAAGTGAGAATTTTGGATACTTTGGTTGCGTACTATTGCAATTGACTGATGAAGTACTAGAGCGTACATCTCCAATGAAGTGAGTGGTAACAATCGATATTGTACATCAAGGGGCACCGAATGACACAGTGTCAACTAAGATATGTCATTGATTAATTATTACCGATTTCCTTCTCCACACTGTGTTACACATTACTTTAAGATGGAATGTGCCAAGTGTGATTGACTTACACCAAAACTGGGCGCGCGAAGTGGACTTTCTTCCGAAAATCGAATTGGCGATTGGCGACGCTTGTTACCGTTGGTGGCGCTTCTTTTTTCAAGATGGTTAAATAAAGAGTGCTCGTTCTTTTTTAGCGTCTCCAATGGCGACCTTTCTATTGATATATGTTACAGGTTTCAGTCACTTGAGATGTTCGGTCCCTCTAATCAATATGATTTGTGAACGTCATGCTTGGCATCTTTTTTATTTCACGTATTTTTTTGTGAATAAAACTGAGAATATTTTTTGGGAATTCCACATATTTTTTGTGAATAAAACTAAGAATATTTTTTGTGATTTTTTTGTGATTTTTTCATAGGATTTTACTTCTTTTTGCAAACATATTAATTGTTCTCAGAGTAATATAACCAACAAGATGAATTATCTATGAATTATCAATCAATGGATTTTTTTTCCTCAATTTTACATCTTTCCATAATTTGCATGGGATTACGTGATAGTGCAATGAACGATAAAAGCCCTCAAAGGGTTGAATTTGTTAATCAACATTTTGAGGGCTCCTATAACTGCTCAGATTAGTTTCTCTCAAAATTACTCACCTGTCGACCCAACGAGAACGGCCTGAGACAGAGTTTAGACATATACATTCACTTTTATAGAGGGTGTCATAGCCACAAAGATTGATCAGATTGTTCTCATAGTTTCAGGTCTTAATTTTTTTCTTTCCAAAAATAATATATATACATCTTTTGCATTTCGTGGCCATCGACTTTTTGAAATAACTGTATCGTCTATGTGAATCCAAATATTTTGTTTGTCTCTCAATAAGCAGGTATAGTGATCACACTTCATCGCACAATGAAGTATAGCACTATTGACAGAATATTGATTACTAAGAACAGAAACGGAAGTTGTTGGCACCGCCTTCAATTTCCAATTCTGGATTTTCTGCTTGATATTTTTAGTATTTATGTTGAAGATATTCAATTGCACAATAAGTATATCAGAAGTTGAATGTATTCTCGTCTTTCGAGTGAACTCAACATACTCGTTACAATTAATACAAAATTGAATAATCTCTTTCTACTCGTGGAAAGCTTGTTTAATTAAATTGTTCAAATCAATGGTATCTTTCAAATCACTCAGCGAGAGAGTAATCTTGCAACTAACTTCGTTGGAAGTATTCATATAATTACATGACGTACAATGATCTAGGTGAGTGAATTCAATTCGAGTCGGTTTTCGTAGCTGATCCGTTTTGCTAAGAACTTTTTCGAGAAATAGTACCGGGTCGTTTTCGGTATCGCCACTAATTGAATACTAGAACTTATTGATGAATAATAATAATGATAATATAATGTATACAGGGTGTCCCAGAAGTACATGCTAATCCTTTACCAGCATGTACAGGGGGTGATTCTGAGCCGAAAAGTCCTGTTCCACTTTTGCATCAAAAGCACCCCCCCTCAGATATTGGGGCAAACAGGAGAGCCAATGACGCAGCAGCGTTAAACGGCAGTACGTCCGTGTGGCTCCGACACATGCATGAGCGACGCCACTTCCAGGCAGCGGGCTATGTGTGCGGAGCCACACGAACGTACTACCGTTTAACGCTGCCGCGTCATTGTCTCTCCTGTTTAGCCCAATATCTCCGGGGGGTCGCTTTTGATGCAAAAGTGGAAAAGAACTTTTCGGCTCAGAATCACCCCCTGTACATGCTGGTAAAGGATTAGCATGTACTTCCGGGACACCCTGTATATAGATCATATTATTGAACATACCATTTTTGCAGTTATTCCAATAGTTTGTGAGGTGAAAATACGTACACTGCACTAATTATACGCGAGGAAGAGGCGGGAAAAACTTTTCCATAAGCGAAATTCCTCACGCAGATGGACAGGCTTCTACATGAACGTTTAATAGGGGTGGTGCTTGAACTAATTCGTTATAGGATTGGAGTACGGCAGAGCTCCGAGAAGTTGACCACCGAATTAAATAAATTAATCATTTCGACGATGTAAATCGTTTGCAGGTGGCTTATAGATCAATGATAGCATAAAATTAGCGTTTTTTCGACCATAGTTGATTTTTAATGATTGTTCAAATAACCGGAAGGTAGACCCCAATTTTTGTAAATAAATGAATATATAAATAAATTATTAGGACTCTGTGAATCGTTTGCATGTGGTTTGCAGATCTCTGATAGATAAAAATTACCGTTAGATCCATAATAATGGATTTTTACTGATTTTTGTAAAATAATTAAAATTTTGATAGGAAGTTAGCCCTCAACTTGAAAAATTCTTAACATCTACTTATTATGGATTAATCGCTAATTTTTAGCTATCATTGACCTGTAAAACACCTGAAACCAATTTACAGAGTCCCTAATCTTAATTTATTTACTTACAGAAAACTGGGGTTCGTCTTCCGATAAAAATTTTAATTATGTTCAAAAAATCTGTAAAAATTAATTATTACCCATCGAATAAACGGTAATCGATCGTTGATCTGCACGTCACCTGTAAACGATTAACAGGGTGCAAATAGTTAATTTATTTAATTCGGTGGTCCATGGCATACTCTAAGCGCGAATTAGTTCAGGCGCGACCGCTACGGGACTTTCATTCGGAAACTTATTCATACGCATGAGTATGTCTCCGGTAGTCTCTGGACAAAAAGAGGAAGAAAGAGAAAGAAACACATTATGATATTCGTTGTCAACTTTGACGAACAAATCTAATGGTCAGAGAAAATGAAATTGAGGGAATATGACATTATGACGGTTGCTATGGGAGGATTTTTTTATTTAGTGATTCAATCGAAAACGTAAAAATATCTTCATAAGGCTCACAGTCAACTTATATAATGTAACTAAGGGCCGATTTCGCGAAAACTTCTCGTATTACGAGAAAAAAAATCAAACACATTTTTGGAGTAGTTGTGTCGAGTGTATTATACGCGACAGCATCGGCATGTGACGTCACACCGGAATCACACAGGTAAAACCTCCACTTGGCCGATACGCATTCGCGTATCTTGATGACCCATTTCCTCAATTTAATTTTCACTCGGCGTTCGATTTGTTCTACAATCTATTGATCCGTTCATTTAATTAGTTCTTCTGGGAATTAAGTTAATAGTTCCTTGAATTATAATATTCTCGCTCAGCTCTTTTTGTGATAAA